CTTAGAAAGGACCTGTATCGTCACACTATTTACTCTCTAGATAGAAGGATCCAGAATGAGAAATAATCAGAAAAGGCTATAAAGTAGCTGCTAGTAATTTTCTTAAGTGTTAAGGTAAAACACATAGAAAAAACAACTGCTATAAAAACATTTTGAAATATATAATTTAAAATCCACAAATGCAAGTTGTAAAGGAGTATTATATGAAAAGAGAAAAATAGTGCAACTTGCAGATCATTGTTTGATGTTTGTTCTCTGTTTGCCTTCTGTTAGTGTCCTGTCTGTGAGTTTTGTTAGTTTTAGATTTATTTCCAAGGTTCATGTTACAGTAAGGAGTTTATTTTCAAGCCAGTGTCCATAGGCAAGCTATTCCCTAACCACTGGTGAGAGCATTTCAGCATTTCCCAATGGGTTCTGTCTTCCTGATTCTATTCCCTCTCAACCACTGTCCCTGCCTGATCTCTTTGCCTGAACCTCTGTTGGACTCCAGCTAAATTCTGCCTCCCAGGTGCATTTCTGTCTGAGCTGGATGCTCGTCACACCGTTCTCTGAACCTGCCTTCACGCTCTAATGGATTCCAGGAACCTGGATCTGTCTGTTCCTGTGTGGATTGGAACCCCTGACTGGACTGTGGACTCATGGATTCCAGTACTACTCCAGTCTGATCTGAATCCCTGTCCTGGATCGGAGTCCAGCCTGCTCACTGGGGTTGCTGCATCTGGGATGGTCTGGATGGCTCATGGCCGCCTCTCGTTGGCAGTGCATCGGCTTATCCTGCCTATGATTGAGAGGATGGACTGACCTGTTAAGCCAGGTAAGTGACTAACTCTAATAATCATCTTCTGTTCAGATGCTTGTGGTCACTTACCTGTGTTTCTCCCTAAGCCAGAGTGTTGTGAACCCACAAACACTGCAAGAATTCAGTTTGAGGTCAAGGATAGAGCATCTTGGAAGAAATTAAGATAATACAAGAAAAAAAATTGGTTAAATAGAACCCCTATGTGCTTATTTTAATCAGTTATTTTAATCAGCAAAGTGTCAGTGCAGGACCTGGACCTTATTTAAAAGGCTAGTTGCAGGTTGGAAGAAGCTGTTTTTTATGGCAGGATGTTCTGGTCTTGATTGACCACTGCCTACTGTTAGAGGGGAGAGTCTCCAACCGTTTGGGTTTTGATTATGTATAACTCCTGAACACCCACCCAATTTGAAGTAATCCTCGTCTATTTTGCACACCCAAATGGAAAAAAAACTAACTGAGGAACTGTAAGCCCACATGACATGTGTGATGCATCATTTGAAAGCTAACACGTGGTTTCTGAAAATATAAATGAAAATGGTGAGTAAAACACAGCCTAAGCTGCATCAGTTCAAACATGAAGGTTGTTTGTTTTTAATTCTTGAAAATAATAGGTCTTTTTTTGAACAGCAGTAATAAAGACATTCTTGAGAATAGGCATTGTATTGCATTTGTTCTACATCATGTCAACCAAAAATGCAGAAAATTTCAGGCCTCTAGTTAGAACAGCTCCAGAGCTGTGGGGCTTTAAACTTTTGGTGTCACCAGCATATCCAAACCTCTCCAAATGTGGCAGATTGTGCCAAATTATGCCAAATGCTTTTACTCTGTTTGAGCCATAGAACAACACTGAAGCATTTTGATGGCCACAAAACATTTATGAAGCAAGTATTTTCCACTTTCTTTCAGAATCAGTGTATATAACAAAATGTAACATTTATAAACATAAAATAAAATAAAAGTCTATAAAACATTTTTTTTTAAATGCTGCTTTTCAAGCTAAAATAAGACCCAGTGCCTTTTCTGCGCTGTATTTGTATTTATTTTTTTCAGGTTTAGGTATTGTAATAAAACAAAATCAGCGTCGAAACTTCAAAAATATCGGAGTGTTGTTGATAATATGCTTCGCACTGTGTGCGCTGATCCAGTCTCAACAGTTTATTTCACTTATATGCAAGACGGTAACATGGCTCTGCTTTATGAACCCAGCCATGTCTACCCTTGTTTGAAACCTTATTTCATTGGCTACAAAGTCAAACAGCCCACGTGGTCTAAACCAATAAGAGCAGGACTCTAGGAGTTGTAATATCACACTACTCGGTGTGTCATTGGCTGAGGTGCTTGTGAGATTTCATCGGGTGTCCCTGACTCAAATCCAGTCATACAAATAGGGGGATACTTTGGTCTTGTATGTAAGAAGACTGTGTAAAGAAACATACCAAACATTGTGGGAAAACAAATGAGGAAATATGTCTTATTAGGAAGATGCTAAGCCTCAGCTATGACCAGTTAACTTTTCTGATGAAAAAAATATGAAATATGAAATAAGAGAGATTCAACAATTATGAATGGATTCTGTATCTCTCCAGAGACCGACTGTATGCTTAAGACCAAGCCCTGCTAGAGCTTCAAAATAATACAACAGGTCCTGTACAAAATAAAAGCCTATATAATATACTCAGCAATTTATTGCTCTATAGGGTTCTTTATATTACCCCAGCTGCAACTAGGTATAGCGATGCCAGTCACCACTAAGTGTGGCAACGCCAACCCGCAATAGCTGCTGTGAAAAACTTCCAATAGGTGTGGCAACACTAGTCGCCAAGAGCTGTTGCCTAACCACTCCACAGTAGGTCATGCCAGTTGCCATCAACCATGAACAAGTGATTTCTCACGTGGTATGGTGATACATGCCAATGTAAGGTGAATCAAACTAACCCCATTAAGCCTTTGGTGCGAGTCCAAATATGACACACACACAAATACGCACAAAGTGGCAGGCACCTCCAATATTTCCTTCTGGAATTTTCTAGTTGGTATTTACAAGTTTCCAAGTGTGAGTCATCTCTTTCCAAACTAACTGTGTGCAGTGTTCCTTGATCCTGTTGGACCCCTCAGTACAAGCTCAAAATGTCCTCCTAACAATATCAACACTACACTTGAATCAATGTGTGAAAAGAAACGAATCGTCTATATTTTAAATTATATATGTACCCATTTATCCTGGTGTTGCACTTCGGGTGTGATTCGCAACACAATTTATTTCTCTAGCATCAGGAACACATTCACACATCCAGAGGGAAAATTGGATCTGTTTTACCTGAAATAGAATCCAACACAACTAATTTACTTTTCAGCAAAAGCAAAGCAGCACGCCTTCCATGTCTATTTGATTTGTACTAAGGTGCAGTCAACAGACAGGGAACAAATCCTGTCAGTGTTAACTAGCCTCACATGTCAAAAAGAATGCTGGTATGCTTACATATTTATATTATTGTTAATCATCTGTGTCACCAAATTATGTTCTCGCTTGTTGTATACTTCTTGTTTTTTTTTCCCCCCTTTGTTCCCGATGTCAAGCTACTCTTCTCCATCTGCTTTTCTTTTAAAACAAAAATATTTTTTGGTATCCCCAGGCAAAAGTGCATGCTGCTTTAGCTTGTAGCCTATCGAGTGTATCAATGATGGCTTGTACTTATGGCATCCTCTTCAAAGTGGTCATTTGACAGATGGTCAAATGGTTTGTCCTTGGGGAAAATAAAATAAGAAACTCCAGTGGAATTCCTGGTGCAATTCAAACAGTTAATGGCAAAGCATTGGACCATAATGAACTTGTACTCGACAGCCTGCTGCCTTTCCATGCTTTTTTTCCTCATTGGCAGCTCAACATTACATAAAGTAGATGAATTCTATAATACGTATGTGTTGTGATTATAATTTTTTGTTTCTGCTTGAAGCTGAGTAGAGAGATTCCCACTTTAAAATATTCAAATTGTTTCTAGTATTTAGAATTTGAAAGATGTTTCACTATCTGTCTGTGTTTAGAGTGGGGGGATTTTTATTTTATGGAATTGTTATTGAACCGAGAAATATACAGTAGAAAGAGCTGACTGTAGTGTAAAAAAATTCAATACACAATTAAGTTTCAGCAAATTATCATGAAATAAAAATATAGGGTATATGCATGGAAATATGTAGGTCTTATTACTGGGACAGAATTCTAATATGCAAATTCAAATATAAAGCACTAGCATAGCATAGCTAGACTCTGTAAAAATGTGCTTGGAAGTGAAATTCATATATGTACTCAGCACTTTCTCTTTGAACATTCAGGGTCTTTTTCAGCATCTGCATTAAAACCAATATATAGCAACGACCATATGAAAGTAAGCAACAGAGCAACAGATTCAATTAAACTCTATAAAAGTACTTAAAATGTGTGAGGGGTGTGTGTGTGTGTGTGTGTGTGTGTGTGTGTGTGTGTGTGTGTGTGTGTGTGTGTGTGTGTGTGTGTGAGTGTGTGTTTGGGGGGGGGGGGGGAATTAAAACTCACCACTTACTCACCACTGTCTACAGTCTTACAAATATCATATGACTTTTCAATTAATAAAGAGGATAATAGCCATATGGAGATATGAAGCATGTGGAAAAAATCAATAATAAAGATAAATCATTCAGTGCATCATACAGCTAAAGGTGACACACCATTTCTACAACGATTTACAATCCTTAGTGCATGTCAACCATTCAGATGCTGAGGGAAAATGTATGTAGCTTCTTCCTAACTCTTATAGAAATGTAAGAAATAAGTTAGCATTATAGCTAAAGTGTATGTATATTGATCAGCTCTGACGGGGTTTAAGGTCTTTACTTGAGACCGGGTGAGGGATTTATATTATTGTTAGCTTTTACAGCATGAATGAACTGTGTCAGCTAAACACACTGAACATGTAACTCTCTGCAGAGATACAGAATGTTATGCAAACATACCACCTCCCTCTCACATTTTCTGTGTGCTAATTTGTCTTAGAGTACTTCCTTCTTAGCTGTTAACAATCTCTTATTCTCACTGACATGCCAGTAAACAAATGTTTACTTTGATGATCACAGGCAGCTTAATAAATGTGTCAATCCAGAAGAGGCCAGTTTAAATAAAGATATTTATGAAAGCTATTAGCTTTTCTTAGAGGATTATGTGCATTACCTGTTACAGTCAACGTGCAGCAAGAGGTGGGAGGTGCTGATTGTGAGAGCGATCTTGTGCCACTGCCCATCAGCAAGCCTATAGGGGAAGGACTCAGTTCGTGGCTTGCCCTTAAAGCGGTAGTGGTATCTGATCTCCTCTCTCACGCCACTGCTTTCCAGCTCAAAGTAACTGCAAAGATAGAAAACTTAATTAATACATTATAAAAAAAATGTTTATCCTGTACAAATACAATACAATTGTGGCGAGAGTAATGAGTAAAGTTGATTTCAATCAAAATGATAAAAATAGATACTGATCCAGTAGCAATGAAAAAACAATCCTCAACCATATTTTTATTTCTACTCCTGAGACAACAACATAAAAAAAAATAGAATACACATTCAGACACGTGTCTGAAAAGCTATTTTACCAATCAAGGTTTAAACTAAACATTTAAAAAAGGTATTGGCTATCAAAGTTTTACAACTGTTGTTTTACAGTGTAGTCCTGTTTCTCTGACTGTGACTGGCTGGATGTGCTATCTTAGTCCTCTGGCATGGGAGCTGGCTCGGAGCTCGTCTGCCTGGCTGTGTGTTTCCTGGACGGGGCCACCTTTTACAGCTGCTTTTTGTATCTCTGTTTCTGTCTCCTTGAACCCCAGTCGGCCTTGGCAGATTGGCCGTTCACACTGAGCCTGGTTCTGCTGGAGGTTTCTTCCTGTTAAAAGGGAGTTTTTCTTCTCCACTGTTACTACAAGCATGCTTAGTGTGAGGGATTGCATTTGAGTCAATTAGGTACCAAACAAAGCATACCAGGTAATGTATATATTTTATCTCTTTTTATTCTTATTTTTATCTTTATTATATTGTATAGTTGGATGTGTGTATATATTGTATAAAACTCTAACTGGAGTGTGTAACAAAAGTAATTTCCCTCTGGGATTATTAAAGTATTCCTGATTCTGATTCTGAATGAGTAATTCATCAAACATTGTTAATTGAATGAAAACCTTTTGACTGTTATATTTTATTTACAAAAACACATTTTTTTTTGCTTTGAGTTTAAGTATTACATTTCATTGTCAAAGCAGCTGAATGACTTTCAGCTCTTGTCACACCATGTGGGCCCTTCACTTTATCATGCTAAATTAAAAGGCTGATAACAGTTAGCTGCAGCCTGGAAGCTGCAGGCAAACAGACCTGACATTTTAGTCTCCCCGTGGCGATATATGACCTCAAAAGAGAAACATTTAGGCACACTACAGTTTGACTCACATTCCAATTTAAATTAAGAACAAAAATCTCCTTGTGGTGCAATAATCACCATTATGTAACCTAAAATTACTTTATACTTTACTTTATATAATACACAAAACACAATAACAAAAAAGATGGCAAAGTACTTGTGCACAATTTTATAAAAAAGCTCAGTGTATTCAGGAAGATCAGGGCTAGTTGTCACACTTTTTATATTCATATATATATATATTCATATATATATATATTCATATATATATATATATATATATATATATATATATATATATATATATATATATATATATATTCATATATATATATATATATTCATATATATATATATATATTCATATATATATATAGTCATATATAAATATATATATATATATATATATATATATATATATATATATATATATATATATATATATATATATATATATATATATATATATATATATATATATATGTAGGAGGGGAATGGGCAGCAGCAAAGTGCTGTGACACAGATGGGAGACTTGTGAATCTGCTGCAGTTAGTGTGTGTAGGAGAGAATAAAAAGCATCAATCTTGTTAAACAAGTATTTTTCAATATCAATACCAGCATTGGTATCAATAGTATTGCTCCTAGGATTGATCTATGACCACCTTCTAGTCAAGAAGTCAACTGAGACTAAGGCTACATTCACACAGCAGCCTTAAGTGATCCAAATCAGATTTATTCGCCATATTCGACCTGTATCTGATCTTTTCATGACTATCTGAACAACACAGATCCGTTTTTTCCCCAATGCAACCTGGGCCCCTTCGCTATGTGGTCCTGAATCCGATACGAATCTGATCTTTTCAAATGCGACCTGTGTGTGAACGGCCAGGCCGCATTTATCCAACCTGAATGTCATCAATACTCAACAAAGGTCCCTATTCTGCGTCTTGCTACGCAGAAGCAGGCAGAAAAACAACAACCATCACGGACAATATTGCAGAGAGCAGTCTTTTTTTTTTACCCATCTTGAAAAGTTTTTAAGGTTGGGAACGATTGCTAGATGAGCTCCAGCACTATGATCCAAGTTTACTTCTGTAAACACAAAGCAAGCTTGCTTGTGATGTCATACACTTTCATACAATGAAAGTGTAGTCATACACTTACGTTGTATGAATGCAGTTCACACAGGAGATCACATAAAAGTCACATATATTTGGAAATGTCAACAGCAACGCAAAAAAAAATTTATTTTCACAAAAAAATTGGAATTGAGCAGGCCTGCAGTGTGAACGACGCCTAAGGTGTACCGAGACAAGACCAAAAACAGATAAGGTCTCCATCTTTTGTTGGTCTTAACCTCTAAAAAATGTTGGCCTTTTCTGTGTCTCGGAACTCCTTGATCTTTGTTGATGTGTGGTATTCAATTTTTCCTGTTTTTAAGTCATTTTCTACTCGTAAGCTCATTTGTTGTGCAGGGGGCTTTGACTCTTTTGTATATGGGGATTACTTGTTCTTTGTTTTAATTCAGTAGCTCAGTTAAAACTGTCAATTCTTCCCCTTATACTGTATGTAATCATTAATGCATTTTTCCCTTATATTTGTCACCTGGTCTTGTTGGGGATGCCACTTTATTTTTTTTTCATTCCATGATGTATTTGTTTCCCACTATAAAAAAAAACAAAGATAGGAAATGTCTTCCAACACAGGTGCACCAGAAAATAGAAGTGGTAATTAGCACACTGTACACTGTAGTCCATGTCAAGTTAAACCTTTCTGCTCAGTTAATGATGGCACATCAACCCCCCACAATGCTGGCTGCGTTAAGGCAAAAACAATTATTAAACACTAAATTAACAAGGAAGTGTTTTTCCACAACATCCAATCCAAGAGAGAGAGAGACAGAGAGAGAGAGAGAGAGAGAGAGAGAGAGAGAGTAGAATCAGTGCATCTATGACCAGCCATTTCAGCAGTCTTTATACAGCATGTCATCACTCTGAAATTAAATGAATACATCACTATGTGCCTGTGCTGGGTACCGACCTGACACCCCATCTTCATCATGCTCTCAGAGCCAGAGCCGCTGATACTTGTCAGCTGGAGAAGAATCATTTGCATCGAACGAGAATCAAAATGAAATCGAGAGCTCTCCAGCTTCGCCTCTCCCTCTGATGGAAGCCCTCCTCCAGGCTTCAAGAGACCCGAAATCACAGAATGAGCAGAAACACTGTTATCCTGATTTGACTCATGAAATAATCATCAAAGGCATTAACTCCACTCCACAGCTAGTGTTTATTTTATGAACTATTTAATGGTAGCTATTGTATGCCTGTATTACAGAAGAACTAATGAGAGGGGGTGGGGAGATGTAGACTATTGGCAGGCAATAACTTTATTATAAATAGCTCATTGTGATGGACACAATATTTGGCTTGCCTGCTTTAGAGCTTTCCAATGCAAAATATGAAAAATTAGCCTTATCTTTTTCCACAGGCTTTCTTTTATTGATGAACCTTTCATAAGCAGCATTGTACAAAGCTGTTATACTAATGTCATCTGCTTGGATCTGAAATACTCCAGCTGTGAGCATCCACAGCTTTCAGAGTACGAAAAATAATGTTTGCATGTAAAACTAAACAAAGGAAAATACTATCAGAAGTGATGAAGGAATTGTTGCTTTGTTAAAAATTTTAAACTTGTGAAAGTCTAGGTAGAGTTAAAATAGACCGCATGATAAGAGAAGCAAAGGTCAGTCCATATTTCTGGAGGCAGGACCAAAGGATGCCCTTCTACATGAGTAACTGAAAATTCTTTATGTAGTTTTTCTAAATTCTCAAAACCCTAACCCTAATATATACCTTTGATTGTCTTTTGTTTTCGTTTATTAAAAGTTCCTACCCTAACAGGAAGCCCCCAGTAACACTTTTCCACCAAACATAATTTGGCCAACTCCTAAATACTTCTCTCCAGACTACAACATGTCACCACCAAATACTGCCTGGTGGTTGCATACAAAACCAAGTTGCGGAAACTCCAGAGGCTTGGAGGTGGTAACAGTTTTAACTGCCTCTAGTTTAGAACCATTTTGGGCTGCAGCCAGTATGACGGGTTGAAACGTGATTGAAATTGATTACAAATAAATAAAATGTGAATAGTTAAATTTACTTTCAAATGAATTGAAGCACTACTATTATACCTTATATCTGTAATCAGTTACACTTTCCAAATATCCTACCCATTACGATCAAAGGTGATAATGTGTAAACAGTGGTTCTCAATCTGGGTCCTCAGGTACCACCACCCTGCGGGTTTTAGATTTCTCCTCACTGCCACACACCTAAATTATATCAAAGAATGACTGACAGGCTTCTGCTCCTCCCCAAATGCAGGAACAACAGACTGCTGAACTCCTTTGTTCCCCAAGCTATCAAGCTGTAAAAACTCCTCACTTGGGGGAAGAGAGGTTATAGGAAGAGGGACAAGGATCAGCACCCCCCTTCTTGGACATCTTATGCAAAACATTACCTTCTGTCACACGTGCAATATTCTTCTTTCTCAATGTGCAATAACACATGCCAACTACCGTGCAACCATTCAAATTTTTTACATATTTATAAGGTCAGTACATCTCTGCAGTACAAGTGCAATAATCCAAGTCAACTACTGTATAGTCAATAATTTTCACTTATTTATATGGTCAGTACAATTCTTAAGTGCAAGTGCAATAATTTAAGTCAACTGCTAAGTAGTTTTCCCTTAGCGTTCTACAGTGCAGATGTTTGTATGTGTAAGGGAAACATATTTGAGAACATTACTTTAACTTTTTTTCTTTTTTATGCTTTTTGGAACTATATACACTCTTTTATATTGTCTGTCGTATTTTTATCGTTATTGGCATCTTGCTTAAGTCTTTGAACTCTATATAAGCTGCTGGAAACAGAATTTCC